ATTTGTTCTTAATGTGGTGTTAGTCTACATTTGTTCTTAATGTGGTGTTAGTCTACATTTGAACAGTCATTTGTTCTTAATGTGGTGTTAGTCTACATTTGAACAGTCATTTTTTCTTAATGCGGTGTTAGTCTACATTTGAACAGTTATTTGTTCTTGATGTGGTGTTAGTCTACATTTTCTCTGAATTAAACACATGATTTCACCAGACATAATATGAGTTTATACTCTTACACTGTTGTTACCTTCTTAATGCTACATCCATCTGTCAGTAACTCAACTGATGTTTTTATGATTTTTACATCTTGCCCACTATTACAATTTCTTTTACAACTAGCATTCTCTTGAATTTTTCCATTGTTTCCTTATTCACTAGATTCTTTGTACTTGTTTAAAGATGGAACCTCTGCTTATGTTCTACCCATTTAAGACTAATGTATTATAGGTATGGAAGAGAATTAGAATAACCGATAAGTCTGGTGTGCAAGTTGTGAAATTCTAAATAAAGGTTTTTAATTTATTATATATTATAAACTAATAGTGGATATTTTTAACTTCTCATGTCTGTTGTTAAGTAATTGCAACAGCATTAACTTGCTTACAAATTAGTTTCAGCTTACAGCCAGCTTTTGAAGTTCGTTACTTTGTCTACTTCAATAAACAATATTTTGTTAGTCAGCCAAAACCAAAGCATAAAGTTAACTACTTTTTGCTTTTCTTTTATTGAACTTTGAGGTAAAAATAAATTGGAACTGTTTACCTTTTGTTTATCGTAATGTGCAGTTCTGAAAAAAATTGGCATCCAGAATTGTTATTTATTGCACTCAAAAGAGTGCTGTTTCAGAGAAATCCGAATGCTCTAATTTGCCTGTTCGGCAGTGGTTGCTAGACATTAATCATTGCAATGGAAAGCTATAGTTGCTAAAGTTTAATAGGGAATTAAGGGTAAGGTGCTTCAGTGCATTTCCAGATGCATACCACACACAGTGTTGAGGCTGTAGGTATTTTAGATATGTAGTCATGACAACATTTAATGACATAGAGATGGAAACTTTAATGGCTAATATCCTCTCCATAGAAGTTGTTGATGTACTAATTCATTCATTTTGTATTTAGTATAAAACTTCATCCACAGTTTCATCATGAATGTATCTCTCATAGCAGACTCAAGTTTGAATATAGTATCTCATGTGAAGTTAACAAATTACTGATACGATAATTGTATTTTCAGGGCCACCAGGTATGAGCCCAATGAATCCAAGGATGAACCCCCCTCGAGGTCAGCCACTTGGAACCATGAACCCTGGGGTAGGTTGTGGCTTCCAGTGTGTTCAGTTCTTGCTTTTTAATTTATTACATATTGTAAACTAATGGTGGGTGTTTGTAACTTTTCATGATAAGCAACATTAACTTGCTTACAACTTAGTTTCAGCTTATAGCCAGCTTCTGAAGTTCATTACCTCGTCTTTGCCAATAAAAAGTACTTTGTTAGTGAATCAAAATAGTTTCAAATCAGTAATTGATGTCTGTGATAGTGCATGCAAGTTACTGGGAACAAATGAAAACTACTTTTATTTAAAATGTATTTTTTCACATTACAAAGAAAAAATATGCAATTGTTTTTGTTTGTTAGAATTATGGAGCAATGAGGCCACCCCCAAATAGTGGAATGGGACCAGGAGGACCGGGAATGTCAATGTAAAGTTTTTCTTTCTGACTAAGTGTTTGTGTTACAGAAATTCTAATTTTTATGGTTCACTAATCTATATTCCAAAACTTTGAACGATTGAATAGAAGATTAATCTCTTTGTTTTCTCAGTTTTGAAAAATTAATTAATATAAGTGTTTGTCTAAAGTAACTTAATGACAGACAGACAAAGAGAAAAGTTCAATTAAATTTTCTTGTAATGAAATAATTGTTTGAAAATGGGTGCTCATCTTTTAATGTAAAACTAAGTAATTATTTATCTAGTGTGTTTGCATAACCTGGTTTGTCTATTCATATTTATACATATCTAGCCATCTCACCAATTGACTTTATCTTTAGTGGTTTGTCTGATTTGGTTTGTATGTGAACGAAAAGTTTTATAATTAAAAATGATCTAAGAACTTTCCCTTTTGATCAGAAGATTTATTTTTATACCAGCAACAAAGCTTTTTTACTATTTGAGCAAGTAAACACAAGAATTGAGTTAAAAACTATTGTGGTACCATGAAATCTGAAACAAAGGGCAGGGGACTTGTAGCACAAAAACATGGCTAATTATAAATAGAGGTTTTAATGTTCACAACATTTCCCAGACTGCGATTCACCCCAGCTAACATTTTGCATCCTAGCCTGAAAAACATTGTAAACATTAAAACAGCTAGTTCCTTTTTTAATATATATATATCCATAAAACACGGTTGAGTTGGTAGAATGGAACGTCTAACATTAAACATTGTAAACATTAAAACAGCTAGTTCCTTTTTTAATATATTTATATATATCCAGAAAACACGGCTGAGTTGGTATAATGGAACGTCTAACATTAAACATTGCAAACATTAAAACAGCTAGTTCCTTTTTTTTAATATATATATATCCATAAAACACGGTTGAGTTGGTATAATGGAACGTCTAACTTTAATTCTCGTGTTTTTAGAAAAATGAATATCCCAGTCTTTTAGGCTATCATATGGAAAGGTTTTTTTAATAACACAAGGGATTAAGTTTCTAAACTTTTTTTTACTGTTCACTTTAATATGTTAGCTGGGATTTTCATCCAGAAATCCCTGTTGTATAAGTACTATCACTGTTAGTTTTTTAAAGGTGGAAATTGTTATTATGATATAAATAGCTATCACTCAGTCTGTTTTTATTTGTCTAGCTGTATACAATTATATGTGCTTGCTTTCTTATCTATTAACTCATGGACTAAATGAACAATTCTCTGAACTTCCTTAAGCAGGCCTGGTCCTGTGGGCAGACCCTGGCAACCTAATGCTTCAACGGTAAGTTTCTATCTCACAAACTCTAAAGTTTCAATCACAAATTATAATCAACTTTTTATTTTCATTTCTAGATGGGTTTTGGCATCTAAATTCATTTGACAATCTATTATACCAATCTAATCTATGTTCTAATCTAACAGTGTGTTTTTATAATGTAGCTCTACTTATTGGTTTTTTAGATGATGAGTAGGATTTAGGCCCCATGATGAGTTCTTCTTCAAGTCTGGCCAGAAAAAAGAACTCAACATGAAGCTCTAAACATCATCAAAAAGCAGAAGAAGAGATAGCTAGTAGTAGTCACTGTAGAGAATAAATATTTTGTTATGTCTGAGCTAGATGGCTGCTCATTGGTTAAATATACTGATATATTGTTGGAAGGAAATTTTCAATCATAAGTAACTTGTTAAAATTTAAACTGGTTAATAAAATGCTTACTCCATGGTAAAGTGACATGCTTAAGAAACAAGGTCTCATTCATTAAATATGTATTAAAGTAAACACACACACACATGTATATATTTTTATTTTATTTTTTTCATACAGCATAAAAACTACACAGTCACTAGAATTACATAAATGGATTTTAAACAGAAAAACACATCTAACACAGTGCATCACTATGCCATAATTTACTGTCATTTTATTGCTGTGTCTAATTCAAAATAACTGTTAACAGTGGCACAGAATAACTATGCTAATGAAAGATAGAAATAAACAATGTAATGTAATTCCTGTTTGAAAGATAAAAACAGACAATGTAAAGTAACTCCAGTCCTGAAAGATAAAAACAGACAATGTAAAGTAACTCTAGTCCTGAAAGATAGAAACAGACAATGTAAAGTAACTCTAGTCCTGAAAGATAGAAACAGATAATGTAAAGTAACTCCACTCCTGAAAGTTGGAAACAGATAATGTAAAGTAACTCCAGTCCTGAAAAAAAGAAACAGACAATGTAAAGTAACTTCAATCCTGAAAGTTGGAAACAGACAATGTGACTTTCTTGTGAATAGAATAATCCATTTCATTTCTCAACTTCAAAGTTTTGAGAGAGAAAATTATTTTTGTTACAAAAAATACCTCATGGATTTTTATTTAGATTTCTTTGGTAGTGAAATCTCTTACTAGAAAATACATGTAGTGGTTTTTATGTTTCATCCTGTGTTTTAAACATGCAACATTAGGTGAAATATTGGCATTTCGAAATGCATGAAATTCTCTTTGAATAAGAAAGTTATGTTGTTTTCTTTATTTGGCAGATAAATTATTCCTCAGCATCTCCTGGTGGCCACTATGTAAGTTTTTTATTTTTAGTTCTCTCTGATTTTCTGCAACTAATTATAATTATTTACACTTTATATACACCTGG